GTTTTTCGATTTGTATGGAAATGTCGTCTGTCGAAGCTGTCAAGCGAGCTTCTGAATGTAAACAAAAACACCACATCTGGTGACCGAAGCTTCGGAGCAGTGTTTCACTAGTAGTGCCGGTTTGGCCACTCCTTCCTTTCTTACCTCCATGTTATGCTCAGTTGTCTGACGCAATCAGCCCAAGCCCACGAAATACCTCGTGGCAAGGAGCGCTAGATTACGCCTACCGTTGGCAACAGCCTTGAGCACCATTCACGTAACACGTGATTTTAGCTCAGTCACGTGATTTTAGCACACGTGCGATTTAGCTCAGTTCCGCCAAAGAATCTCTATTCTTTGGTTCCGCCTCCAATTTTGATGGAGAGCACTCCGGTGGTGACGGTCCGAAAGTCTCCCATGGCACTCCGCTTCCACCTATTTAGAGTGTCGCCATGCCGCACCGACACTATACATTGCAAGCATCCATGCCGTCTCCGGGATTCGAACCAGGGCCCTTCGGCATAGTAGTCAGCAACGCTAACCACTATACCGTTTATTAACTCGTAAAACCAAAAAACAGCCTTATCTGTGTTTTACTGTTAATTGAGATTTTTGGAATGCTTATGATGATCTTATTTTTTTTTTTTTTAAATATTTTAGTATAACAATATAAATACGTAAAGACTATGTATAGGGTCGCCTAAATGTTCTTTGCCTAGGGACACCAGGTATTCTAGCAGAAGCTCTGCTGAAATTAGTAACTTTCTTAACCACTTAGCTTAAAACTGACGAAGAACCAAGGCGTTTTGTTTACGAAGTACCTTTGCAGTGAAATGCAATTACCTCCACATAATCGTTAATAAAAAGAAACAACACTCGCTAAAGAAAGATGAAAACAAAAGACATTAGAGCTAAAGAACGGAGTTCGATAAGAGATCCGCTGAAGACAAGAGTAGTAACACTGTCTGCGGTTTACCACAATGAAAGGAGCGATTAGCCGTCCATTGATGTGTAAGACGTAAAACGGTGCCCATCAAAAACACCGTGGCACAAACGCTCTAATCACGTCCGCTGCAGCCACACCACCGCACAAACATCGTAGTCGAAAATATCGCGGAGAGAACAACAAAAGGCGAAAACATCGTGGGAGAAAAGAAAGCAAAGCGAAAACATCGTGAGATAAAATACTGTAGTCGAAAATAAAGCGGTTCAGAAACATCGGTTTTTAAAAGAACATGGTAAAAAATATCATGGTAAAAATAAAGCATCTGCAAATCATCGCGTAACGATACATCGCAGACAGGTGTTTTTCAGGCATTAAAAGTTGTAAATGTATATTCGCATAATGATTTGTGGACATTGGAAGGAAGGAGCTATATATTTACCTGTGTATGTTTTATATTTATGAAATAACTGAAAAAATTTTGGTAAAAAGGCAAGAAGGAAAATTAAGCATTCAAAAATTAATAGAAAATCAATGCTATGCATAACAGTTAAAGGAATTTTAAACTTATGTAATTAAATATTAAAGGTCATTATTCAATTAATCTTCGTTCGTTATAAAGCCGTATTGGTTCATAAAAAATGTTGTCTAAAAAAGATTAGAAAAGGGAGGAGAGTGACTGTCTGAGGTTACCTATATATAAAAATTGTCTAATGAACTATCAAATTGCAACACAACTTTCTTTCACTTTGTTATCTGATATTTTTTGTTAGACTATATTTGTCATAGAAAACTCCAATGCAACTTTATAAAAGAGATTAGTTAAACAATGATTTTTAACTGTTAAAAACATAACTTTATAATTCTATTAACTGTTGAGCTTAGCATTAATTTTCTACTTATTTTCAGTTTCTGAATGCTTAACTTTCCTTCTAGCTTTTTTACCAAAAATTTATTAGTTAATTTAAAAATATAAATGCATTCCTCATTACTTCGAGCGCTCACAAATCATTACATTGTAGAAACATTAGATGATTTTTTTTCGAAGCCAGAGAGATGAAAAATGAGCAGTCGCCTTCGCCGAAACTCGAACTACGGACCTCTGGAATACCGGGCCCAGCTGCAGATCTACCAGGAAGGCACGCTAAAAAGGCAGGAGAAATACCTTATATACGCCCCCTTTTAAGGGGCGACTGGGGTTTTTAGAGGACCCAATCGCCAAATCTTGGGTGTGGAAAAACCTCATCAAACACCCTTTTTTAGTTCGGGCGCCACTGTAGAGAACATAAGGTGATTTTTTTCGAAGCCAGAGAGATGAAAAATGAGCAATCGTCTTCGCCGGGAATCGAACCACGGACCTCTGGGATACCGGCCCAGAGTGCAGAACCAATACACCACGAAGGCACGCTAGGAAGGCGGGAGAAATACCTTATAACATGAATAAACATTTGCAACTTTTAAAGCCTAAAAGCATGTCTGCGATGTTATCATCATGCAATGATTTGTAGGTGCTTTATATTTTGCCACGATATTTTCTCCGTCGATGTTTTAATACTGCGATGCTTTTGAATCGGTTTATTTTCGATGACGATATTTTACCCCACGATGTTTTAGAGCTATGTTTTCTCTTTGCTTTCTTTTTTCCCACGATGTTTTAGAGGTCCAATGTTTTCGCTTTGTTTTCTTCCCCCCCCCCACGATGTTTTTGTCTTGCGTTGATTTCTCCGCGATGTTTTCGTCTGTACTCTTTTCTCCTGCAACACTAAAACTGTTCCAAGTTGTTAAACTAGACTCGAATTTGAAAATTATGATTTAATTTTCTTATCCAAATTTATGCTACTTATATGTTTTAACGTTTTCAAATTTTTAGTAAATTTTTCTTTGAAGTGTTAGACAGAAATCTGAAGTTTTTAGATTACAAATTATTTTTTTATTTCATAAATAGTTTAAAATAAGTAATAATAATATAGTTTAAAATAAGATAATCGAGATTAGATGAGTCATTTTATTAATACGTGCTGCCAAACCCTTTCCGGAAGGAACTCGAAAAAATATATTCGCCGACTTTTAAGGTGCTACGGCGAACTCTGGACAATGCCCTCGACGATGACCTCTGATCGGCTGAATGAACGGTGAATTCGGCCATTCCGGATAGATGCTTGAGAAGCAAGGATCAAGCCAATAGAGGGGGAGGGGATTGCGGACATTGTCTGCGCTATGAAAATGATTTTAATCATTAGAAGAGTAAAGTAAAGCTTTTTAATTTTTACAAACATTGCACGAAATGTTTTCACCCCTTCCATTATGTCTTGGTATATTCTAAAAGCTTACATATTTTTAATTAACCAATTTCCAAATGGCGAGCCGCCGAGACGATATAGGGTTAGGGAAGCCTGGTTGCGATATCGAAGGGGCTGGGTTCGAATTCCGAAGAAGGCATGGTTGTAAATGTCCCTCCCTTCCTAGGAGGCGATGGTGGCCCACCTATTAGGTGTCTCCATAATAATGAGACCACCACATCTGGCCTTGTATAAATTAATGGACTGGGTTACACTAGAACTGTTCACAATCTGCCATTGGAAAAATAAAAATTCCAAATGGCAACAGTATACATCTCACATATCATTATACACACATATACATGCACAATTTTTTATTTATTAGGTATCAAGTTCATTTATCACTATTGTAAAATTTTGTCTCATCTTGTTTTTGACCCTTTGATCTTACTGAATTCGAGGCTATTAAAGATCTCGTAAGTGATATATTCCTTTATTTGAAATCGAGTGGAATCTCAGATCATTAATATTATAAGATATTTCTCCCGCCTTCTTAGCATGCCTTAGTGGTGTAATGGCCAGCTTACTCGGGGCGTATTCGAGAGTTCCATGGCTCGAGTACCGGCGAAGGCATTGCTCATTTTTCCTCTCTCCTGCTTTCAAAAGTTACCTGATGTCTGTATAATATATTTATGAAATAATTATTTGCTTAATTTATTTAATTAATTGAATAAATTACGTGGATTTCTGCATTTAAATTTTGATCCCATATTTTTGTAAATTTTAATCTTGATCCCCTTTTTCTCAAATTAAGCCCCAGAGAAACAGTATTATAAATTAATTATTTATATGTTATAAATTTACATGAAAGAGAAGAAAATTTCTACTTTTTATTACACTAAAAAATTATTGTATTTTAATTTAAGCGACTTAATAACCTATAACTTTTAATTAAAACATTTAAAATTAAATGCGAATAGGAATTAAACGATTTCTAAATATAAAACTTAAGTTATTTTAAGGTCTTCAAGTATTCATCTATAATACCATATTTATTCAGTTCTATGTGTACCATTTTTCGCATATAATGTAGGGTGCTTGCTTCTAAGAACGCATAATGCGAGGTGCTTTTAAGACATATAATGTGAGGTGCTTTTAAGACATATAATGTGAGGTGCTATTAAAAATATGAGTAGCATACATAACACATGTAATGTGAGGTGCTTCTAAGAATTAACGGTGTTTGAGAATGTAATTCTCCGAGTAACTAATTATTCTAAATTAATTTATTTTCCCAAATATTATTTTTAATAAATATATTGTTGTTGTTAATAAATCGAAGTTGATTATTAAAGTAATATATGCTAAATATTTTTGAACATATAGTAAATATTTTTTAAATAATTTACTAAAGCATATAGAATACTATTCTTAACATGTAGACTTTGATTCTAAAAATGTAACTTAATTCTAAATGTGCAATATAAATGAAACATGTAATTTTTCATTTACAGAAGGAAACATGCTTAGAATTAAATAGAATTAAAATCTTTAATTGTCCATCGGAGGTCTAAAATTAAAGGGTTGCTTCTTAGAACGATGATGTCTTAGAATCGAAGAAATGTGGTAATTTTTTTAATTATACCTTTTACTCTTAAAAATCAATTAATTAATTAATGAAAGCTAAATTATGCCGATTAATTAATAAGCACTAAAATTCCTTTAGATTACTGAGAAAAATTACTGAAACTAACGATATTAATACACAAACACAAAAGGAATAAAAATGAAAAATTTACCTTTCCAGACCCTCTTTTAGCGCCTCAGAACAGCGATCCTCAACAGCACCAATAGATTTTAGATTTACTTTTCAGGTGTATTTAAAAGTCTCCAAAGTTTGCTAACAACAAACAGCACACCAGTGTCAGCAGAAATTTCTCTCCTGTTTTCTTGAAGCAGTCATATCCGCTTCCTATTTCTTCTGAGCCTTGTTAGCAGTCATAATTTCGAGGGAACCACGTGACGGATCCAATTTTATAACCTGCGCCGAGGAGAATGCGGGTCACGTTCCGTATTCGACCACAATTCGGCGCTGAGCTTCCTTAACGAACTCTTGACCTCTTCTGTCGCCATTGAACTTGAAACTGCGAAAAAAAGAACTTCCCCCTTCATTCTCGTATTTGCTTGTTCCTTATTAAATTGAAATAATCGTGTTTCATAGCGCTTTCCTTTTAGTGAAATGAGAAAGGCCTACAAACGGAAACTTAGAAGGATGTCTTGTCTTGAATCCTTCCTCGCTGCGGACATTTCTAATGAGCATAATTTAGGTAACTGTGATATTTTTAAGGGTTAATGAGAATAAGAGAGTTCTGACATGGAAAGTACGATAGGTACCATAATTTATATATAAGAATGAATTCGTTACAGCATTGGAATAGAAATGATATCGATGCTATAGTACAGCGTGTTTCAAAAAAACGTAACATATATTTATTAAACTGTACGACATACGAATATGAAACTTTGCACACATGTACGAACTTCTCAAGTTCAGATTACAGATGCTTAATATGTCCTCCATGAGCGACACGAACAATATCACATCGATACTCAAATTTCTTCTGTACTCGGCCAAGCATTTCCGTCGTCACTGATGTTATGACAGTACGGATCCGGCTCTTCACCTCTTCCAGGTTCTGTGGGAGTGGTGATACATAAACGTGGTCTTTAAGGAAGAGGTCACAGAGTGTCAAACTCGAGAACACAAAATAATTTCTGCTACGGAGTAGCCATTTTAAACATGTGACGGTTACTACGCAAAACAGAAGACAACTGACATCTAGCGGCTATTAATATAAACTAGACTATAAAACGCCAATAGCCGAGCCGAGGGGAAGTGATCGATAGTTTGGACAAAATAACACTTTGTAATACGTATATTCTTTTTGAAACACGGTGTATAAGAGGATTCGAGCATTAAACTAAGATATCGTAACTTATTTCCAAGGTACAATAACTTATCGAAACAATGAAACTACGATGACTCATTCATTATACAATTTATTACTTTTTTAGCCCAGTAGGGCTATTTTTCTCGAAATGGCATTTTGCGTCGAATCACTACAAACGGCTGTATCACTTTTCAAACTGTTGCCACCAAATGATATCGCCCTGTATTATACTTAAAGAAATTAAATAACGAGATACTGCGTAAATGTATGTATGGTTCTCGCAATTTGAGAAAACAATGATACCTAGAGCCATCGAATTTTGAATAACGTAGTCCTCCAAGCGAATAAGGGCATGTGGAAGCCCGAATCTTAAATTTCGAATTTGTTTTATTATCTGTTTCTTAATTTTTAAACTTTAACAAATTTTTGATTAAGACAACGATCTCAAAGCGAGCAATGGCAACACACTGTGAAGAATAAAATATTTTTATCTCCAACGCGCGATACTGTCTATCGGAAATTCTGAAGATATGCTCTTTTTAAATATTTTTAGCACAAAGGGGCGTTAGCCCAAATTGAGCGTAATATAAAACCTGAAAGCTTTCAGAATTTTTTAGCAATTTTTATCTTATTTTATTTTTTTTTTTTAGGATGTATTAGAGCTGTGAATGACACAGTGGCGTAAATTGAGATGTGAGACTGAGCAGTAAGAAGTAAAAGATTGTGGAATTTAACATGTCAGTCACTAAGGTATCTGCTTTTCGTTTGCCGTGGTGCGAAGTTTTATTTTGGTGCTTTTTAATGGAGTATAATAACAATAAAAAAATCGATTTACTTTGTATGTAAGTTCTAATATACGCAAGAATTATATATAAAATTGTTCATTCATTCTTAAAATTTCAGTAACGCACCGGTTAAGAGCGCTGATCTACCACTATGTCCAAAATGCGAATTAACTTTTGACTTCGATTCTAGAAATGTTACTAATAATAAGTAAAATAGTTATTTTATCAGGGGAAATAGGGTGCAAAAACTACAGGAAGACCACAAGTTGAATCGCAAAAGTTTCATGATCTCAAATTTACATTAACAATTTCACAAAAATTTTGATTTATCCTGACAGTTAAAACAAAACAATCTCAGTCGGCATACTATTGATTAAATGTATTTAAATTTATATCATTAAATTATATTAGAAATGTGTAATGATAGTTTAATGCTTTTATTGTTTTTAAATCTCTCAATTTGTTAACCAGTTACAAAATGATTCAGTTTAAAAGGTAATTTAAAGACTTTGTGTTTTGCTGAATGGCAACATTCTGAGATTGGGTAGGCGCGAGAGCTTCTGAAACATACAGTAAAGGTCTTACGTTTAACGCAGGTATAACACTTGTAAGATTTTCACTAATGTAACTCTCGGTTACTGTAGAAAGTGACGAATCTTAAGAACTAGTTAGAGAATAATTGTTTAAGTTCGTGTGACAAGAAACAACAAGATGGAAGGGTAACTAACCCTTTATTATTCCAATAAGATTTAACAAAACTCCGTCTTGGAGTGTACAATCAACGCCGACACTTGGGCTTGAACTTAAAAGACTAAAAATTAAACTAAAACTAAGATTAACTACAGAAATATAGCCGAAGCTATCAAGATTCAAATCGAGTTGGCCCCTTAACTTTATTTGACTACGAAGCTTATCAAGGGCCTGAGTACGACCGAGCGTAATAACAGCTTTGAGAGAGAGAGAGAGTGGCCAAAAGGCAGACGCGCGTAAATTAGAAACTCTAATTCTCTCTCACTCTGTAAGTAACTTCACGGTTTAAATGCCGCTCCTCCTCATTAAATATTCAGAAAGATTCCAAAACTACGTTATGGCCGGAAGTAGCAAGTTGAAGTTAAGAATTTGACAGGAAAGGAACTTTAATTTAAAATTTAACTGTTAATAAAATTAATATAATCCTTACACACTTACCAAAAGGCTACTTTTAAGTTCTTTCCGTATTTTATCTGTCAATTTCTGAGGCATGATTTTGTTAATGGATTTTATTCAATAGGGCAGGATTTTGCACATTAAGTGAAAGCAATAGCTCTCTTTCAAGATGTAAAAATATTGCCATTGATGAAGCAGTAATTCATAATAGCTAGAAATAAATGAGCATGTAATATTATTCAAGACTTTAAAATAACACTTATAGTTACTGTAAGGATTATGTTAATTTCTTTAACAGTTAAATTTTGAGTTTTCTTTACAAGTTAATTTTTCAAGTTAATTTTTCTTTAAAAGTTCCTTTCCTGTCTTCTTGAATTTCAACTTACAACTTCCGGCCATAACGTAGATTTTGAAACGCGTTTGAATGCGAATTCAGGAGAAGTATTTAACCGCGAAGTTCTACTGTCTTAGTGAGAGAGAACCAGTGATTCTGCCTAGCACGCGTCCGCCTTTTTAGGCTACTCTCTTTTAAGCTATTATTACGCTCGGCCGTACTTTAGTACCCTTGATAGCTTCGCCGTTATTTAGCTTTAAGGGAACAACTCGGTTAGAATCTTGATAGCTTTATCTTGATAGCTATATCTTGATAGCTATATCTTTTTTTTAAGATTAGTTAAGTTAATTTCTTAGTTTTTGAGTTAAAGCCCGAGTGGCTGCTTTATTGTAAAACTCCAAGTCGGAGTTTTGTTAAACTTTTGTTAAGAGTAATTGCACCCTTCTTACATGTTGTCTCTATCTCACGAACTCAAGCGATTAGTCGCTTACCAGTTCTTAAGATTCTTCAACTTTAACTGTAACTTCAACTGTACACAGCACAGAATCTTACATTATAACCAATTTTTTTTTAAAAAAAAGAATAGCTAAGCATCGATAATGTCTTGGGTATTAACAAGCAAAGCACAGTGACTTTAACTAGTTTTAAAACTCGGAAAAAGTTTTACAGAAGACTAGCAAATCTTAGATTAATCTAAATTTGCGATCTTAGAGAATGGCTAAATTAAGATTCAGAATTTTGGAGAAAGTTACTTTGCAGTTTATTTTCGGCATAAATTATAATTCTAAATATTATTTAAATATGAAAGATAATCTTGCTAGTTTATTAGAAATCGGGCAATAATGAAAAAATTCTTTAATTCGTAGGTTTGTTAAATATTTATGAAAAAAATCTAATACGTGTGAAAACTCAAGAACTCCTCAAACGTCTGAAGAAGAAGAATGCAACATTCGAAAGGCAGAAAGTTTTCCTCTAAAACCATTATTATTCTAAAATTTAATATTACTTAAATTTAAACTCTATTTGATTCTAATTTTTAATCGATTGACAATAACTACACCATACAGATAGTTCTCAGTGATTGACAATATTTGAAACACGGCGGTACACTAAGGAAGTGAATTTGAAGTTTGAAAGTAGTACGTTTAATAATTTTTTACTGTTGATTTCCCTTCAAGACCCTTTCTATCAGTTGGAAGGCGAAGAACCCGGGGTTGGTCCAAGAGTCTTCCACCCACTTTTATCTGCGAACAACGTCTCGAGAGCACTATTAGCTCGTTGCGTATTTTGAGTGCTCCATTTCTGCACAGACAGTATACTCTTATAAGTATCCATGCATTCTCCGGGAGCCCGAGTCCATCGGTACGGCAGGTAGTGTCTCTAACCAATAATCTAGCTAAGTGGCATTACAAGTAGGCAAAAAAAAACCCTAAAAAGTCAAAATATATTTGGTCCTTCACAATAATCAGTTTCCAAGAACATATTTTCAAAAGGGGGCAGAATTTAGGGGGAGAATTTGAAGTGTCAATTCTTTCAGAGTTTAGAGGAGGCAGTAGGCAAGAGAATTTAGAGGTAGTAAAATTGTTAAGAAATTCAGGAAAGGGAAGGACCGCAGAACCGCAGAGACTAAGGACCCGCAGAGACTGCATCTCGCAGCAAAACTGCCTTGCGTCGGATCTCCTCTGATATGAAATGAAAGTTGTGTTATTCACTAAGTTGCTATGCACCTCTCCTTTCAACTAAGTGGTCCACCTCCTACATCAAGCACCTTTCTTCTTTTCAGTAA